TTTTTGTTAGAATATAGTTATCAAAGAGAAACAGTTGCCCCTAGCTTTAGTTCTTTAGAATCCTAATACAGCCTGCCCTTTCTTAAAACTTGGCTAACAGCAGGTGGCAAAGTGGTTAAGACCTGGACTCCCATGTGATCACCTGAGGTTGGAGTGTGGGCCTGAAATTGGTGTGAGGACATGGGGCTTGAAACTCACAGCGGGCGCATGTACATGTGTGCCCAAGATCCTGAGAGGAGAATGGAGGAGAAAGGATTAAAGTGTGGCCATTCATCCTGGAGGGTGACTTCTCATATTCTGTCTCTGTCTCTCCAGCAAGCACAGGCATCCTATATTAGAAATCGCTCAAATAATAATAATAACAACAACAACAACAACTTAGCCACTATAACTTTGTCTTGGGTTAAACTGACTGTGGTTCTATCTTGGTCTTGTCCCCATCTAGTGCTATGTCCCATCTCTCTCCTGGCTCAATAATGGCGAATAGTAATCAATCCAAGATGACAGCTGTTCAGAATCCTAGAAAGCAATCAGTCCAAACTAGATCAAGAAGACATAAGAAAAGGTAAAAGGAAAAACATGAATATCTTAGGTGTGAACCTATTCAGAAGAGGTTTTCTGGTCTACAGGCATTGGGAATGAAGTAATGGCTGAATCATATAAAACAACGGAAACAAAACATTAATGATGCACAACACGAACTCCAGCAAATCCATGGAGTTGAACAAGAAATGTCAACAAAGCATAAGCCCTTATGTGACCTAGCCATAAACAATTAGTTATCATATAATATGCACACAGATTATTAGTTAAACTTAAAAGGTGGTACTCCCCTTTGTCAGGAACTTGAGACACGGAAAAGCACATATATAAGGCATGTGTGAGAGACAGAGAGATTGAGACAATAACAAAATTTTCATCTCCCTTAGTAGAAAAGCCATTGATAATGTCTTAAACTGAAACAGAAAATGAAAGAAACCGAAAAATTGGAAAGCATGTTATCTACAAACATGAAGCTAGACACCAAAAGAAACATTCAAAAGAACTAAAAGTGGTTGTTTCAGGGAAGTCACCATGTAAAGTGTGGAAAAAATAAAAGAGAGGTTACTGTCTTTCATGTAAGTCTAATTTAAGATGTAGTCACTGATGAGAACCAACTTTTTATTGTTATTTATAAGCCAGAGGGCATGCATACTTGAGAGAGAGAGAAAGGGCTCTTCAATGGGACATGGTCAAGCCACAAATCCCTTCTCCTCTCTTTCTCCATCTGTTGGGATTCTGGATGTGCACACGCAATACCTGGCATATTTCTGAAGTCACAAACTGCATGATCAGACATGTGGGATCCAGGGGTCTTCCCAGCTAGGCTATGGGACCAGCCTTATTAGATTAAATTTTTAAGAAAAGAAAGAAAAAAAAAAGCTAAGTGGAAAAAGCAACATACAGAGAAATATACCTGCATAGATTTATATATCAATTGAGTTAATCACATAATTTTCAGTCTGTTCATATTGAGTATTATTTTGATGGATTTTAAAATTCTAAACTAAATTTGAATTCCTGGGATGAACTCACTTGGTCATGATGTATTTTCTCTTATATATCACTGAATTCAATTTTCTAGCACATTCTTAAGAATGATTGTATCTATTGGGGCCAGCAGATAGTGTAGTGGTTAAGGGCACTGGACCCCCACCTGGCCAACCATGCTTCAAATCCTGTACCTGTCGGCTTATTTTCTCACTTTCTCTCTCTCTCATTCTGTACTTCTCTGATCAAGGTAAAATAAATAAGTAGGGAACCAGCAGTTAGCATAATGGCTATGTCGCTGGACTCCCACGTAGTCACCCGCGGTTCACGTCCCGGACCTGGTGGCTTAAAACACACCAGGCGCGCATGCCCAAGATTCCGAGAGGAGAATGGAGGAGAAGGGATTGCGGTGTGACCATCCCCCCTGGGGGGTGATTTCTCACTTTCTGTCTCTATGTCTCTCTCTGTCTATCTGGAGAGCACATGCGCCCTATAGTGAAAATCTCTCCCAAAAAAATAAATAAATAAGTAAAGTTAAGTAAAATAAATTTTAAATATTTTTTTTAATTTTTTGCATCTATATTCATGTGGGATATTTGAGTTTAGTTTTCTTAACTTTTCATGTCTTCAGAGTAACGCTGGCTTCACAAAATAAGTTGAAATGTCTTCTCTCCTCTTTTATTGTCTGTAAATTTGTGTAAAATTACTACTTCTTAAACCAAATGTTTGGTAAAATTCACCAATGAAACTATCATAGAAAGATTTTTCACTAACTTTTCTGGGTTTTAATAGGCTATTTAAGTTTTCTATTTCTTCTCTTTTCTTTTTTAGTTAAAAATACTTCTTTTTAGTAATTTGATAATCAAATATCAATAAGATATAACAAAGGGGATTTCAGCTTCTTTTTTGTGTGTTTGTTTTGTTTTTGCTTGTTGCCATAGGGCATGTGTGAGAGAGACAGTGAGAGGGAAAGTGAGAAATCACTCTCCAAGGGAGGATGGTGAGGCCACAATTCCTTCTCCTCTGTTCTTCTCTTGGGTCTTAGGAACACATGCACGCGTGCCCAGCATGATTTTCAAACCACCAGGTGCAGGGCTCGAACTGTGGTCAGTCATGTGGGAGTCTAGCACCTTAACCCCCACACTCCCTGCTGGCCCCTATTTCACCTTTCTGTGCAATAAACCTGTTCCTCATTTTTATAATGAGAACACAGGTATCAGCACTAAATACGGGAAACTGCTTTCTCTTTACTAAGACTTTAAGAAGAACATGAACTTCAATCACATATTGTCTTTTTAAAAATTTCAGTTTTATATATTTCTAAATAGATAGAACTAAATAATCAGAGAACTAATTTCTTTTGTAAAATTTGGCCAAATTGTATCCAAAACCTAACATACAATGTAATCTGAATTACATACACTGTTGGACATCATAACATTCCAACCAGACAGCAGTTGTCAATGGCGACCCATGGGTGTGAAAGTACTTGTGCTCATCTTGTTTTAGTCTGGAAAAGTAAGGCTGCGTCAGTAAGAGCAAACTAAGTACCTAATTTTTTGCCAATGTCAAGTCGGATTGTGGTTGGCAGCAGAAATGTCGGTGATAAATAGTTCTACTATAACAAAGCTTAATTAAACATTGTTTCTCACGGTCAGCTGCATGGTGCAGTGGTAATAGGCCACTCAGGAGGAGCCGATTTCACATGGCGACCATGGGTCAATCCCCAGCCCAGTGTGCCTGACCCGCTCGGGCCACACACGTCAGTGCCCGAGGTCCTGTGGCCGATGCTCACCTCCCTCTCTTCTCTCTTTTTCTCTTTCTCTCTCACATGCTCATGTACATACTCTTCTCACAAATAAAGGCAAATCTTTTCTAATTAAAAGAAAAAAAGAATATTTTGGGGACCAGCAGTTAGTGTAATGGCTATGTCGCTGGACTCCCACGTAGTCGACAATGGTTCGCGTCCCGAACCCGGCGGCTTAAAACTCACGCCGGGCGCGTGTGCGTGCGTGGCCAAGATCCCGAGAGGAGAATGGAGGAGAAGGGACTGCGGCGTGGCCATCCCCCCGGGGGGCGATTTCTCGCTTTCTGTCTCTCTGTCTCTCTCTGTCTGTCTGGCGAGCACACATGCCCTATAGCAAAAACCTCTCAAAAAAAAAAAAAAAAGAAAAGAAAAGAAAAGAAAAAAAGAATATTTTTCATAACACATCACAGTATCAAAGTTTTATATGAGAAAAATGGGAAGGAACAAAAACAAAAATGAAATAGTTACTAAAAGCAAATTGAAGTATCTCTTGCATGCTGCATTGGAAGGAGTAAAAAAATGAGGTTAGGGAGCTGATGATGCTCTTTCTTTCTTTCTTTCTTTCTTTCTTTCTTTCTTTCTTTCTTTCTTTCTGGGCTTTGCCATAGGATGCATGTGCTTGCCAGAGAGATAGAGAGAGAGAAGAAAGGGAAAATGAGAAATCGTCCCCCACAAGAGAGATAGCCACGTTGCAATCCCTTTTCCTCCATTCTCCTCCCGGGGTTTTGGGCACACATGCACAAGCACCTGGTGTTAGTTTCAGGCCACTGGGCCTGGGACTCAAACCATGATCAGCTACATGGAGGTCTACTGCCTTAACCACCTTGTCACCTGCTGGCCACTATTTCTTTCTTTCTTCTTTTTAAGAGATTTCTGCTATAGGGTACATATGTTTGCTGGAGAGACAGACAGACAGAAAGCAAGAAATCACCCTACTGCATGGATGACCACCGTTCACACATGCACACACATGCACCCTGCATGAGTTTTAAGTCTCCGGAGCCAGGACTTGAACTGCAGTCGACTATGTGGGAGTTCAGCCATGTAACCATTATATCATCTGCTGGTCCCTTTCTTTCTTATTTTAAACAATTCTTACTCCTTACAAAAATGGATATAAAATGTATCCAAAGGCATTTGAAAACATTCTCTATAATTATGTATCATACCCATAAAGCGTAACCAATGGCATTTGAAAACAAACATTCTCTAATTATGTAAAGGTCCTTTTAAAAAAAGAATACAAAGATCTGTGCTCTATAAGCAGTCACATAGCGCATTTTAACACTATAACATTGCATTATAATAATAAAGCTTACTTTTAGTACACGGCTAAGTGGGGGTTATGAACCACTGGATTTAACAAACATCATTTTTTATCATTTTTTATGTCTTTCTTATTTTGAGGATATTCTACTTGGTCAGGACGCCAGTAGCTTGGAGTTGTTCAACACATTCATTCTTTGACTCTGAAGCACTTTTAGAGATTTTCAGGATCAGGTGAATCCCAATATCCTCATCGTTATCTCCAGCATGTCAGCTCCTTTGCAATCTGCTTCACTAAAGCCAAGTCCCCGTACAGTTGGCATCTTCCTGGTAATCCATGGTTCCTGTCTTGCTGATAGTGACACT